AGATTGGGAGGAAATCTTGAGACGTCGCAGCAAGAGTGAGACGACGAGCGGCTCCAGAAGAATGCGAAGGAGAGCTACGACGGTGTACGCAGGAAAGACGAGCAGTTAAGAAACTCCTACAGAGGAGAATGCATATTGTACATGTCAAACAGGCTTACATAACAACGAAATACAATCAGTCTTCAATCTACCACGCCGAGCACACATCAAGCGCTTCACTAGTGCTGCTACAGAGCGCACAAGCAATGAACAGTGGTGTGAGAACACGAAGGAGGGGCGAGACTGGAATTACTTGTAGTGAATAGTGCTGATCGTGAGCGAGGCATGTCATGTAAGTGAAAAAAAGGCGATCTAGAAATCTCATTGTTTTGCGAAAATTACTGTTGCTTCTGCGTACATGCAGTAGCACAGGATAAGCTCTGCCGGGTAAATGTACGTACGCGGGTGGTCTGCCATTTTGGAAAGCTGCACTACATAATGTTGATGGAAGTGACTAGCTGAATCTTCAAGCAAATTGCAAGATATGTTGCCAGTGCTAGCTGCGGTTACTGGTATATGTAGCAAGAATTTTACGGACAAGACACGAAATACAGGGAAATATACTGTGATCAATAATTCATGGACCGTGTTAATAGATGGCTGCTGTCTCGAGAATCATTGCTAGTAATATGGAGAGGAGTCTGTGACCACGTCAAGTTTCGACGGAGAAAATATCGAGGAGAATACGTTGCCATGTAGTTTGCTTCTGCGTGACGAAAAAGTAGTGGATTGTAGGCAACCGGAGTGATCTAGAAGATTAGCGGTGGTAGAAGGATGGGAAAGACTGGTACTGTGACCACTTGAACTTGCGACGGAAGCAATGGAAGTAGAGCGATACATGTGTCGCAAAAAAAGGATATGACATGGCACAGCGTAGAGCTCGGCTGCAGTGCGTCTATGTCATTTATTTGTCATATTGGTAGCTGTCACAACTGTGACGATCCTACCAATGTTGTTACGAGGACAGGCAATTCATCCGGTAGGCGACTCGAACACTACCATTTATTACTGGGTCAGTGCTGGTACGCAAAACTTGTGTAGATTTGGGTGCTTCCGGTTGAGTTTGCCAATTCAGGATTGAAAAGAATACTAACAAACATGCCCCATAATAGTTTGCTTTTAATTTCTTAAGTACAGGAGGAGATGTGCTGAATTACATATGCAAGTACATTTAAATAAAGTATGTAAGGGGTTGATTCACGTTGCACCCAATGAGCCCGGCATTATGCTAAGAGGCTCGAATTTTAATTTGTCTGAGTTGACGCAAAAAAAAGAAGCCAAGGAACTGGCTCAGGCACTTATGGCCAATCACAAGTTGGCGGGTGCTGCATACATTTGGTAACAACATCATCCGTTTACACGTAAACAGCTTG